TGCCACCACACCTGGCTAAAGATACTATTTATTGTGCATTGTCAGTGTGTTAGGTTCTTTCCTCATGCTAATAAGTATCCAGCACAGCCCAGTGGGATTTTTCCATGTTAAGGAAAGGTTCAGTATTTTTGCTGTCCTGTTGGCAACCCACTACACACATGTAGCTTTGAGTATCTGAGATGTAGCTAGGGTAATAGAGGAATTGAAATTTTAATTTTAATTTAATTTTAATAAGTTGAACTTTTAATTAGCTATACATACTATTGGCTACTATGTGGACAGTATAGTTTGTGCCGATAATATTCCCATTTTTCAAAGGAGAAATTGACTCAGAGAAGTTATAAAGATTGCCCAAATTCACACAATTTTGTTAAAAAAATTTTTTGAGCAGTAGAATACTTTACAATTAAAAAAAATTGGCTGGCCTGGGGATGTGGCTCAAGCGGTAACAAGCTTGCCTGGCATGCGCGGGGTGCTGGATTCAATCCTCAGCACCACATAAAATAGAATAAAGATATTATGTCCACCGAAAACTGAACCATGAATATTAAAAAATTCTCTCTCTCTCTCTCTCTCTCTCTCTCTCTCTCTTAAAAAAAAAAATGGCACAGGGGATTGCCACGTCCCCAGCCCTTTATTATTATTTCTTTCAAATAATTTTTTTTTGAGACAGGGTCTCCCTAAGTTGCCAAGGCTAGCTTTGAACTAAAAATCCTCCTGCCTCAGCCTCCTGAGCTGCTGGGATTATAGGCATGCCACATTGCCTGGCTTTAGGAATGTAAATCTGGCAATACAAATAGAATGGATGGAAGGGAAGAAAAGTAATTAGGTCAAAAGAATTGAGAATATGAATCAAGTGGGTACAGTGTGCACAATGAAGAAGGATTTTTGTAAATGATTTATGGAGATAGAATTGCTATCACTAAAGGACAGTATATGAGGGCTTTGGAGAAAGGTTACTCAGAAATCCCAAAATCTGGATAACCTGGAAAAAATGGTAATGGTGCTTATTAAAGTATAAAATCCATGAACACTTTTTAGAATTAAGATGATTTGGTTTGGGGTATTTGTTTATTCAACAAATATTGAGTGATTACTGTGGGCAAAGCCTTCTGCCATGCTTAGGTGGATTAGTAAAGTCCCTCTTCAAGGATTTTATTCACTTGAGGCACCCTCCTAAAATGTTCATACTATAGAAAAAGAGTTGTAGGAGATGTACAAATCAAGTGCTCTCAGAAGAGGGTGCTTGTGTCCAAATACAAAGGGATTAGGGAAGGTTGTATATGGAAGACAGTATTTGAGCTCTGTTTTGAAGAAAAGATATAGACATGTAAAAACAATAAAGCATGGAGGAAGTTTTATTTCTACCAGTGTGGTAGACTAAATTTTTGGAAAATTTCTTTTACCAAAATATCTAAGTGCTGAATAAATCACATTATCTTTAGTTGTCAAACTGAGAGCTGAAGTTGAAATGGCATACTAGCAGCATGACTCCATTGGGTGCATTTGATAGATAGTAGATAAAGCACAACTGGGGGCAAATGATAGGCTCCCTCTGCTTCCTACCAAGGTAGTTATCCCTGTGACTTCCCAAGTGCATAACTCAAGCAGGCACCATTCACATGGTAGTCCCTAAATTTCTAAGGACTTTAGATGGGAATTATCAGAAACAGAAACTATTTTATTTAGATGCTATTTTAGCATTTATATAACAGATGTTAGCAGTGACTCAAATTTTGCAGAAATTGAGAATTAGTGTCCCAGAAACCTATGCTGGAGAAAGCACCTATGGGTTTTTGGCAAAGATTTGCTATGATTAAATTGATGAAGGAAAGAAGTGATGGGATAGCTTGGGACAGACAAGAAAAAGGAACAAAACAGAAGAGATTATGATAATTTAGGTAGCAGTTTACTCAAATCAAGCTTACAATGATGATTTTAGCCATAAAGAAACTTACTTAGCAAGTTGTAAATGTTCCTATTTGGTAGCAAGTCAGATGATCAGAGTCAATGACATGTGCAAGTCAAAATGACTGAGATTTCATTATTTGGGAAGTCAGGCTGAAATGAGGAAGCTGAGCACAGTGGAGGATTATGCAGAATGGGGTGGAAGAATATATACAAAGTTCATGGGAAATACAACAAAACTTTTTTAGGTCTTCCAGATAATTCTTACATACATAGGAGCAATTTCTTATAATTTAAAAGTATTTCTATGTATTTAAAATTTAAATAAATTAAATATATGAAGTTGTTATGTTTTCTAATTCATGTTATTAACTCATTTTTACATAACATCCTCAGTCTAGAATTCAATGGAGAGAGTGATGTGTGCTATAGATGTGTTTAGGTACTTTTTTCCTCCTTTGTGGAGAAATTGGAAATATAATGGTGAAGAAAAAAAAAGGAAACAACAGTTTCCTGCCCTCATAAAACTTAAAGTTTAGTGTGGAAGATAAAACAAACAAGTGACTGTTAAGTGTGATGGGTGTCCTGATTGGGGAAGGACTGGGTGCTATTGGGAATAGCAGACACATTCAGCTGGAGCCAGAAGGATTGGGACCTGAAAAATTTGTGACATTAACTGGATAGATAATTTGGCAGAGGCAATTACATTGTGGTTGAGTCATATACACAACAATATGCATGAAGGCCTGGAATATGCATAATGTGCCTGGCATTGGCACATTAGAAGATCGATAAGAAGCAATGAGAGTTTGAGTCCTATCTCTTATATTCCCACCCTATAGGTTCAGGTAGTTCTCTTAACTGCTCTAATTTTATTGAGAGGATTAAATAAGATATGTACTTGAGGTGCTTAGTAACATTACTAACACATAGTAAACACTAAGAGCTTCTATAGGGAATAATAAAGATGAGCCAGAAATTATGAACAAAGAGTAGCTAGAGGTGAATATAGAAAGTAAATAGAGATCAGATGATGCAAGGACCTTAAAAAGTAAGTAGAGGTGAAATGATGCAAGGACTGTATGGACCACATTAAGAAGAAAAGATAATTTGTTAGAGCTTGGGGTAACCATTGAAGGATTCGTTGTAGGAGAGTAAGATGGTCAGATTGCTATTTTAGAATTAGGGGGATTATTCTGGTTTAAGGTGGCAGCTAGATTGATTGTGCTGAAGATGAGAGGAGGACTGAGTAATGTAGAAAACACAGAATACTTCTCTGGTCACCAAGAAGTATGAGGGAATTTCTTCCCATAACAGCCAATCAATTCTGCAAAGAAACTATCTGAATGCCTTCTGACTCAATTAATTCTGACAATATCCACCTGAAGATAGTATCAGGTTCTACAGGTTGAGGGCTCAGTCCCATAAGACTGCCCCTATTTCCAGTGCCAATCTTAAGACCCAAGTTGTTTTATTTGTGCTTCTCACTGACCAGCTTATAAATGGGGATTTCCAGAATCCCCTCTTTGGGTTCAAATAATTTTCTAGAGTGACTCAGTTTATGTTAAAAGATACTACAAAGGACGTAGCTAAAGGTATACATATGGTAAGGCATGTGGGGAGTGCCAAGGAGCTATATGACCTCCCTGAGCTCACTACCCTCCAGGAACCTCCATCTACATGTTCATCCATCTAGAAGCTCTCCAAACCCAGTTCTTTTGTTTTCATGGAAGTTTCATTATATATGCATAATTGATTAAAATGTTGGCCATTGGTTATCAGCTTAACCTTCAGCCCCTCTCTCCTCCTGGGAGGTGGGGTGGGGTGGAGCTGAAAATCCTGACTCTTTTTGGGAAGGGTGGTTACTGGGGATTTTAACCCAGGGACAATTTACCACTAAGCTACAATCTCCAGCCCTTCTTTTATTCTTACTTTCTTCCTTCTTTCTTTGTTTCTTTCGGGTTTTTTTTTTTTTTTTTTGAGAGAGGGCCTCAATAAGTTACTTAAGGCCTCACTGAGTAGCTGAGGCTGGACTTGAATTTGCCATCCTCCTGTCTCAGCCTTTTGATGCAAGGACCTTATGGACCACATTAAGAAGAAAAGATAATTTGTTAGAGCTTGGGGTCACCATTGAAGGATGGTTACCCAGGTTACCCATGCGCTTACTGCACCCAGCAAATCCCAGCACTTTAAGCACACTGTGATCTTTCCTGTGATCAGCACCCATCCTGAAGCTACCTAGAGGTGCCAAACCCCAGTTATCTCATTAGCACATAAAAGATAAATTCCAAAGATTTTAGAACGTTTTGCCAAGAAACAGATGAAGTTTGAACATCAGCAAACTTTTTTCTTGTCATTATTCCCTAAATAATATAGTATAACAACTATTTTACATTGTGTTAGGTATTATAAGTAATCTAGAAATTATTTAAAGTATATGGGGAATGTGCATAAGTTATATACAGATACTATGCCATTTTATATAAGGGATTTGAGCATCTGCAGATTTTTCTGAGGTGTCCTTAAACCAGTCCCCCTAAGGATACAGAAGGATGACTATAGATACTTAAAAATATCATAAGGACCCTTCAGAAAGTTAATGATAATCATCTGGCTAAATATGATAATGGTTTAGGTTGAGTAATGGCTATAAAGATGGAGAGAAGAAATTTAGGGGAATAAGCAGTACTTGGTTATATGTGGGAAAATGGGACAAAAACGTAAGTTTCTGGCAATGGCAAGTGGGTGAATCTTGGTTCCATTTACTGGAAAAGCAAAGAAGAACAGGTATTGGAATGGTGTGGGGGATGTTTTTGGAGGGGAACAGCTCAGGGTAATAAGTGCAAGGTGGTAGGAATAGATGGCTAAAAGTAGACTGAAGGAAACTTATGACTTATCTTTTTAAATTTGTTTTTCCACTTCAGAAGATCTGTTTGAAATGTGGTGGTTTCAACAAGGCCTCAGTTTTCTTCCCTCAGCACTTGTAATTTGGACATCTGCTGCTTTCATATTTTCATACATTACTGCGGTAACACTCCACCATGTCGACCCTGCTTTGCCTTACATCAGGTCAGTCTGTTTTTTTTTTTGTTGTTGTTTGTTTGTTTTTGGTGACAGGGTCTTCCTAGGTTGCCCAGGCTGGCCTTGAACTTGTGATCCTCTTGCTTCAGGCTCCTAAGTAGCTGAATCCCAGCATAATCCATAGAGATGCACCACCATGCTAAGCCTGTATAGGAGACATATCTTTATGTCTTTTTCATATTGTACATTGACACTGACATTTTATGTCAACATTTAAAAGTTCTTATTTTTATGTATTACAACAACAAAGGAAATGTAAAATGGGACTTGTATTTGGCTTTTTCTATGTGATACAGAAATGTGGAGCGAATGGGATAAAATTCAGTTGGTAAATTGATTAATGAATCGTGACCCCTTCATGCCTTATCTTACCAGTAAGCATTTGAAGTTGTCTCAGAACCTCAGTGGAGTTCTTCTCCCCTTAACATTCAAAAATGCTGCAAACAAATGATAGTAATAATAGGAAAAGGTGGTAATGATAACAAAAATGTATTCATTTGTTTACTGTATTCAAGGTAACATTTTAAGCATTCTTCATGTCTTAGGTAATTGAATCTTTACAACATGCATATGAGGTAGGAAGGAAAGGTTATCCCCATTTTAGAGAAGAAGGTATGTTAAGTCACCTTTTGTTACTGTAATAAGTACTGAGAAAATCAACTTATAAAGAGAATAGTTTTTTGCTGCATATTTTTTAGAGGTTTCAGTCCATGATTGATTGGCCCTGTTACTTTGGGCCTATGACAAGGGACCACATCATGGTGGTAGTGAGTGGGAAAGCAAAACCACTCACCTCATGGCTCAGAAGTAAAAGAGAAAGGAAAGAACCAGGGTTCCTTAATCCATTTCAAGGCCGTATCCCCAATAACTTGAAGACCTCCTGCTTGGCCCCACCTCTTAAGGTTACATCACTTCTAACAGCACCTTTCTGGGGATCAAGGCTTTGACATGAACTTTGGGGAGACCTTGAAGATCTAGCTATAGCAAAAGAAAAGAGGTCCAGGAAGCTTAGGTGATTTGCTCAAGGGCACTCAATTTGGTAAGTATTGGAATGAATATACAACCTGGGTAGTTTGACTCTGGGGGCTGTGTTATTTATTCTTTATGACTTGCTTCCTAGATAATTCTGACACATTAAGTTTCAACAATTTTGGATAATTTTTTTGAAATTTCAAAACTACTAATGATGTGAGTATTGTGGGTGTAGGTATTTAGTTACATGTGCTATGTTTATAACAATTTTTTTTTTAATTACAAAAAGAGAAGTCCCTTCTTGACTCTTCTAGTTAATTCTTGCCCCCAGGGGTGACTGATGGTTTGATAGATTTCCTTCCTAAGTTTGATTTGTTTTGTCATCTATATTTATACAAAACTCTTTCTCTTTTATTTCTTCTCACTTTTAACATATTTTTTTGGGGGGGGGTCTTAGTTTTGTTTCATTTGTTAAAAGGTTAATTATATAGGTTAATGATTTTTTGATTGTTAGAAATAACACTATAATGACAGTTATATAACATGTAACTTTATATATGTATGCTACTATTTATATTTAGGTAGATTCCTAGAAGAGGGATTGCTGATAGTTAATAGCATACCAACATTTTTAGTTTGACATGGCAAATTCCCCTATAATAGCATTTCATCAATTGTGCATTCATAAAGAGGAAATGAGAGGGCTGGGGTTGTGGCTCAGTGGTAGAGTGCCTGACTAGCATGTGTGAGGCATTGGGTTCGAGTCTCAGCACCACATATAAACAAATAAATAAATAAAGGTCCATCAATATCTAATAAGTATATTTAAAAAAAATAGGATATGAGAAAAATAATAATCTTTATGAATGGTTTATGAGTTAGTAAGATTCAAACTTTTATGTAAAAGTTAAACATTAAATAGGGAGGGAAGATGATGAGAACATTATTAAAATATCATTTTTAAATACGAACATCTACTAGTGTTTTAATCTAAATGATTCTACTTGGAATATAGTTAGGTCCATAACTATTCAACTTCTTTATGATGCTTTGGAAACATCATTCTTCATAGAGATACTGAATGCATTGCTTTTGTTGTTGGAATTAAGTAGCATTTTTCACTTTATGTTTGTTATAGTTATTTAATTTATTCATCTTTTTTTTCTGAAAAATAACCTTTCCAATACAGAAAAAGCAAAATTTTAAAGGTTGATAAACAGAATATTCATATTGGCTTTTTAAAATGTCAAGGAAAGATCTGGGCATTACCTTGTATGTTTGTTTTTTTTTTATAGTGGTGGGGTATCAAACAAATGATAAAAGCAAATTTGGTACACTTTGAGAATACTTACAAAACCAACACTTTTTTTTTTTTATAATTTAAGGTTCTAAATTCTAGGAATAATTTGATTGATAACTACCACTGTGCTAGAGATACACCCAGCCTAAGGAACTAGACCATTCTTTAGTAGTTCCTAGAGAAGGCGTATATTTAAGATTCATGAGGGCCTTTCAGTATTTTTATTTTCCCTTCTGAGAACTTGTCTTCTTTCACTTTAAAGGAAGTTTAAATAATTTCGGAGGCCACTGAGTTCTTTTTGAGAGTTTCAGTTCTCTGATGGTACTCCATGTGATCTTCTACTACTGCCCTAGACACTTCCTTTTCTCTCCTGCTTTTAAAATTTTTTCTGCTAATGAACTTGGTGTTACTCTGGAATCTTTCTCCAATATTTTAAGGTATTTAAACTCTAGCACTGATTTTACTTCTCCTAGGCTCATTTCTTTCATTTACAAAATACTTAAGATAGATGTTCTGCAAAGTTCATTTTAGTCTGTAAGTCCTATCCAAAAGGTTTAGTTGTTACAGCCCCAAAGGACAGAACTGAATGTAAATTGCCCTTAAAGGCAAATATTGCTGCAAGTTCACTTCTCTTTTTTTCCCACTTGGTTAAAGTGGTAGGTGCCCAAGATACTACAGTTAGTAAATAGTGTATTTTCTATTTGGGTCTATGTATTGCACAGTACCCTGAAGGACAAGCATGTAAACAGATATGTTGCAATGTGGAATGGCAAGTCATTTTGATAGGAATCTGGATAAAATGTTGTGTTACTCTCCTAGAGGAGTGAGTAGTTCAAGGCTGTAGAGAGGAGAGGCCTCAAAATTGCTCTTGAATGTTAGCTTCATAAGGACAGGGCCTTTTGTTTCACTTCCCTCCATATTCCTGTCTCAGAAATGATGTCTGGCTAATGGTAAGTACTTGATTAAAAAAATTTTTTTTTCTTGGTACTCGGAATTGAACTCAGAGGTGCTCTATTACTGAGCCATATCCTTTTATATGTTTTATTTGGAGACAGGGTCTCACTAAGGGCCTCTCTAAGTTGCTAAGGCTGTCGTTGCTGGGATTACAGGAGTGTGCCACCATGCCCAGCTTGATACTTTTTTAATTGAGCAAGTATTAATTGGATTATAGGCAAAGTCAACAACAGGTGCAAAAAGGCGAGTTGTGAAAGGGCCTATGGTATTCAGGGAGTATTCTGAATAGACAGATAGATGTATGTGCTTGGTTCATGGTAAGTCAGCAACAAAGTCTTAAAATAATAAGGGTAGCTTTTTCTTCTTTAAAAATCAATTTATATTAATTTCTATTATATAGAAGGTAAATAATCTTAAATGTTGTTAAAAAAAGTGAAGCAGGCAAATATTTGAAGTACAAATTATCATGTTCTCTCTGTAAAGTGATATAACTTGAGCTCATGGGTTTTTAAAAGATAAAGGGTTTGAAGTAACTCCTGTTACTACTTATTCCATAGAAGAAATACACACATATATCTAGTGTTATGGTTTGGATCTAGAATGTCACCCAAAGTCTCATGTGTTGAAAGCTTGATCGTCTATACAGCAGTGTTCAGTGGTGGGACTTTTGGGAAGAAATTAGATCATGAGGGCTCTGACATGATCAGTGGATTAGTCCCTTGATGGACTCATGGCTGAATGGACTATTTGGAGGTGATAGAAATTGTAGGAGGTAGGGCCTGGTTGAAGGATGTAGGTCCTTCTCTGTGGGCATGCCCTTGGGGACTATATCTTGTCCCTGGCCCCTTTCTCTCTTCCCCCTCCTCTTTCTGACCTCTTCAAGGTGAGCAGTTTCCTCACCATGAAGTACTGCCTCTCCACAGGCCCAGAAACAATGGAGTCAAGTAACTGGACTTAAACCTCTGAAATTGTGAGTTGAAATAAATTGTTCCTTCTTTCAGTTGTTTATCTCAGGTATTTTGTTGCAGCAATGAAAGCTGACTAAAACATGAAATGTGATAAATTCACATTTTCTTTTTTTCTTTCAGTGACACTGGTACTGTAGCTCCAGAAAAATGCTTGTTTGGGGCAATGTTAAATATTGCTTCAGTTTTATGTAAGTAATGAGAGAGATTTTTATCAAGCAAAATTAATACTAATTACTATTTTCTTCTTTAAACACGATCGTGTTAATTATTTTATTGTTATAATAGAGGAAATGTTTTATGAACCAAAACTTTATTGATTTACTGAAATATACTTTCTTTAGCTATGATTGTTTTAAATATTTGAATTCATTTATGTGATATTTATTGTTTGCTTATGTCAAAAACAAGGAAAATTATTCAATTTATAGAAATTCATTTTATAGCTGAACTCTTCAGAAGTATGTCTGTAAAAGCATATCTTTGTTATGTTTTTTGGCAATACTTTGGCAGTGGAAAGTTTGACTTGGCCCTTTCTTGACAAGTAAGTATGGAAAGTGGGCTTTTTTCCTGTATAATCTGAATGTTATATCTGATTGAGCTAAATTGTAGTAATTTGAAATAAAATGATATGAGAATGAAGCATATAAACTTTTGGATATTTTTTCCTGTGCTTATTTCATTCAAATTCTAGAGCAAGTTACATTTGCCTTTGATGCTAATCATGAAGATATTTTGTGTTTTATAGAGCTCTTAGACATCACACATCTCTTAAGTTTTATACTAAATATTTATAGACATGAGACTAATGGAAGGCAAACAACTTGCTCAGACACACAGAGAAACCAGTAGTTCTATGATGCAACCTTAAAAGTTCTTAAAATCTACAGCTTTTTTTTTTTTTGTTGTTCTTCTCTCAGATTAACTTTCAAAGGAAAAAATCTGTGCTTCTGGATAGCAGTGACCTTTGTGAACTCTTATTTGGCAACTTTATTCCCTGGTTATTTATTACTTTGTTGTTTTTCGGATTCTCTCTTCCCAGGCATTGCCACCATTTATGTTCGTTATAAGCAAGTTCATGCCCTGAGTCCTGAAGAGAACCTTATCATCAAATTAAACAAGGCTGGCCTTGTACTTGGAATACTGAGTTGTTTAGGACTTTCTCTTGTGGCAAATTTCCAGGTTTGTGTTTTAGCCCAGCATAGGTATTTTTTTGAAGTACCTAATTATAGATGTTTAAAAACGAAGCTTGAAACATTCAGTTACATGCTGTTTTTATTTCTTTGCCTTAATAAAATGGAATCTACTGCCTTATGTTGTTGACCCTGTTAGAAATAGCTACTTTCACAATAAAAAATTCAAATGCAGTAATTAAAAAAATATACTTTATTCTAACTTTTTAACGGATCCACAGGAAGTTAGCCTCTTTATTACTACTTAATTGGATATTGTTTCAAGACCAAACAGAATTGATATAAGTGATACAATCAGAGACTTAAACACCAGTTGTTTTGTTGTTCATATGATAAGTCACAATCATTTTCCTACTTTATGTACTTGTTGGATGTTTCAGTTGGTTGCCTTCCCATTCCTAGGTGCCTAGCCCATTAGGAAGTAAGGAAGGATCTATAGCTTTTCTAGCTTTTTGGGGGGAAATTTCTAATATTACTATCATTATTAATAAATAATAGTATTAGCAATATTAGTTACTAGTATTAGTAATATTAATTCCTAATATTCCTAATATTACTATTCCTAGTAGTAGCAATCAGCCTCACCAAATACACTCATTTGAAACTTGACAGTAGTGTGCTTTCTGAGAAATATATTGATAGTCAGTTTTGCTGTTGTGCAAACATCATAGATTGTACTTACACAAACTAAGATGCCAGTATGTAATCTAATCTTATAGGGCAACCATATATATGTGGTCCTTATTGATGGAAACATTTATGTGGTGTATGACTGTATTTGTAAACTTTCCTCATTCCTGTCTGTTGATGCTCTTCAGAGGAGTCAATAGTAATAATGGCTCCACGCTTGGTATGTGTTAGATTTTGAGTAATCTCCCTGCAGTCTTTAAAAGATTTGGATTTTTGCAGCATTTCGTATTTCCAGTTTTTAGATTAAGGATGCTCAACATGCAGTAAGCTCTATAATCGTAGTCTATGTGGACATTAAGGTAATGCTAGCTGCTGTAACAAAGCCTGAATTTTCAGTGGCTTATCACAGTAGAGGGTAGAGGTCTTACACATGAATCCAATACAGGTTTTTTTTTTTTTTTCTTTTTTTCCCATTAACTCATGGCTTTTCTCCCGGAATAATTTAAAGCCTAACCTATGTCCATCTTTGGGCTTTGTCATGCCCTAGGGCCTCTGTTTACTGCAGCTATTTGGCTGAAATAGTAAATTAGGAGATGGCAAAAGTCACACCTACTTCTTAAAAATTGTAGCTTATGTTAAAAAATTTATTCAGAAAACTTATTAAAAAGAATGGATAAGGCAGACTTTCTTTAGGGCCATCTTGATTAGTGAAGGGACAACTGCTGTGAGATTTTGCAGTAGCAGGAAGAAATTGGGCTCACCTCTAAATGCAAAGAAAAATGGGAATTTATAGTCAAGAAGCAGCATGGTGGTCAGTGGATGGAAAATTACTGAGAAGAAATATCAGGGATAAGGAGGTATTCTGACTAAACTCACCTAATAGGATTCTTGCTGAAAGCGGACCAGGGTGATTAGATATCACCTGGGGGATGGTGGAGTTTGAGGAACCCAATCAGGATGAGCAGATGTTTAAGATGGGGGATCCTAGTTAAATTGACTTAGACATACTCTTGCTAAAATTGGATTGCAGAGATCAACATGGAATCCCACATGTCAGGCCTAGTTAAGAAGAAAGTTCAGAGTATTGTTTGGTCAGGGCAAGATTCCCTGCTACCTTATGGTGACTCACATCATTCTACAGATTTCCATTTGCTAGAAGTGGAGGTTGGGGATCAGCGGGTAGCTAGAAAATGTAGTTTTGCTGGGCATTAGTGTCCTGAACAACTCTGTACTATCTATAGAAGGGGAATAAAATTTTTGGTGGACAGTTAAGTAGCTGTCTATGACATAAATAGAGTCCTGCCTTTTTTCATCAGTTTTTATAGATCTGTGTTAAACATTACTTTGGGAACTGGGCACAGTGGCACAAACCTGTAATCCCAGCAGCTTGGGAGACTGAGGTAGGAGGATGGCAAGTACGAGACCAGCTTGGTCAACTTAGTGACACTCTGTCTCAAAATAAAATTTTAAAAAGGGGCTGGGATATAGCTCAGTGGTAGAGTGCTTGCCTAGCATGAATGAAGCCCTGGGTTCATTTCTCAGTTCCATACACAAATTTGGGGGGAACTTTTAGGGCATGGCTAGTAATTCATTGATGTAGTTGTCCTTTAATAATTTAACAAGATCTCATATCATCCATAGGGTAAAAATGAATCTTAAATATTTACCTAACCCAGTAAATTCCAATAGTATTCCCTGATAGAACTCACATGAGCTGCTTTTCTACCTTGATCTCATTCACCTACTAAGACAGTTTATATGCTTGCTTTTTTGTTTTGTTTTGGATTCCTCTTGGCCTTTTAATTTTATATAAGGTTACTCTTTCTCTCTTGATTGCATCTCTTCATGCAACTTTGGACCTGTTGAATGTCCTCTTCATCTTTCACTGTTGGCTTCCTTGCTTGCCCGGTTCATTAGCTGACCCTGCAGCATTACCTAGATATCTAGTAGCTCACCTTCCTCTGTAATATAAACTTTTCCTACTTATGTAAAGTGGTGACTGTATTGCCTCCTCCTTCCCCTTTTCTTTTGCAGTTATAAACTCTATTTGACTTACACAGCAAAAATTATATTTGAACGTGGTCTGTATTTTCACTTGAAAGAGAGTTTAACACTATATTTATTTAAAATATATAAGTTTTATGTCTTAAGATTTGCATACTTATCTCTATAATTTCTTGTTTGTGTTTATTTCATTAAAGGATAAATTTTTGAGTTGTTAAGGGATATATTTTCAAAGGGATAAAATCATACCTTTTGTACAGGTATCAAAGATTTTATTGAACTTATTAATTATTGAAGCAAACAATAGATATTATAAACTAGTTCAAAAGAACAGTCCAAGTAACATACATTTGTAGTTAGAGAATATGGGAATGAATTTACAAATGGATGCAAAATTAGCAAAATTGGTCATAATTTACCCAGTGGTAATCAATTGTATTCAGTAGAACATAATTTTTATTTGTATGGTTAAGGATTATTTGATTATTGTAATTTTCTCTGAGTTAATGTCTGCTCTTGTTTATCAACTTCTGTCATTACAGAAGATCTTACCTTATATTTACTTAGTCTCTAAAATGATATTATTAAGCAGAAAAATTACCATTAAAACCAGTTTTATGTACATCCATTTTAGTTTTTTAAAAAGTTAAATACTCTCCATTCTTTACTTTTTAATTCATGGGATTTTTGTTAAGGAGTTATGTTCTGACATTGATCAGGCTATATCTATACTTCATCAATGTGTAACACCCTAAACCACATAAAAACAGCCCTCTCTCTCTCTCTCTCTCTCTCAAAAGGAAGCCAATGCCCCTAGCAAATAAATTACAGTCTCTTATTTCTTTATACTAGGAATCTTCTCTTACCTTCATCTAAGAAAATTGAACTCTGTGTATTAGTACAGTTGATTATAAAAGAGGAGAATCAAGCTCTAATCCCTTTTCTTTTGTTGTCTTAGTCATTACATATCTTCTGTGTCAAGTACTGTATTGGATCTTTTCAAACCAAGGAAATATAGATGACACCAGTTTAGAAAAACAGCGATTCAACTGAAAACCTTTTGATTGCAGAATTTTAGAGAGCTCTGTTGTCTTTTTAAAGCAGAGTGTACATATAATGTTAAAAAGTAAAATATAAGGGGCTGGGGCTGTAGCTCAGTGGTAGAGCACTTGCCTTGCAAGTATGAGACACTGGGTTTGATCCTTAGCCCTATATAAAAAATAAACAAATATATTGTGTCCATATATAACTTACAAATTTTTTTAAAGTAAAATATAAGCAGATAACTATAGGAAGGAGAAAAAATTATAACTTATAGTATTCCCTGGTGTATAAGGCCAAAGGAGAGTATTTTAATTTGAGCCCTTAAAATACATTTAAATTTAAGCTGAATTTAAATCAAACCACCTCATCCCCAGCATTCCCAGCCATATTAATCCTTCTTGAACTACTCTTTCTATTACCCTTATCACCATGTAACATACTGTGGAGTTTCCTTATTTCTAAAATTTATTATTTATTGTTTGTGTAGCCTCACTAGAATATAAACTCTGTAAGTGCTGGATTTGTGTCTGTTTTGTTCACTTATGTATCTGAGGACTTAAGTAGTACATGGCTTCTAATTAAGTACCCATATTATTAAATGTAAACATATTATTAAATGAGTAAAAGAACAAATCAGTAATTACTATCATATTTTCAGTGGTAGTATATGAAGTAATTTGGTTTTACTGTAATCTTCAGGTTCATGTTAAATATTAAAAGAAAAATGTTTTAGGAAATAATATGTTGTTGAATCTGCAGAGCTTCTCCACTCAGTGAATGTGCTATTGAAATATCTGGCTTGTGCTTTTGAATATTGGATTGCCAATGTGTTTTGAGTTTCCCTTATTGACTTATTTTTTTTATCTACCTCAGAAAACAACACTTTTTTTTGCACATGTAAGTGGAGCTGTGCTCACCTTTGGTATGGGCTCATTATATATGTTTGTTCAGACCATCCTTTCCTACCAAATGCAGCCCAAAATTCATGGCAAACAAGTCTTCTGGATCAGACTACTGTTGGTTATCTGGTGTGGAGTAAGTGCATTTAGCAGTATCCTTCACTGTAAAGTGTGGCTATACTTGGAAGAGGATTGAATAACAAAAATTAAGTGAACACTATTGGTGCACAATGTAAGCAAATTTGTGTGTGGGGGGGAGGGAGTCTTAGGTTATTAACCCTAAACAAACTAAAGGACTATAAATATAAAACTCAGTAACTGAGCCAAAAAATTAAGGTAATGTTTAGCCTGATCATACTCACTTTAAAGAATTGAAGGATGCCCTCCCTATGACATCTAGTAGAAGTTTATGATAGAATTGTAGTTTCTGAGCAAAGAGAGAAGGGATCTACTATGAGGACTGATTTGTGGTGATCATCTGGGCACATTTTGAGTTTTACTACTGCCATGTGACATTCAACCTTTAAGAAACTTGGTTTGGACTTTGGCAGCAAATGTATGAGTTATCCTATTGGACCTTCAAAGTGATTTTTGTTTTGGATCTAATTTAAACTTACAGGTCTTCTCTGAGATTCTTCCTTGACTTATTTTTTAACAGTGCTGACTTGCTCATCAATTTTATACAGTGGGGATTTTGGCACTGATTTAGTACAGAAACTCCACTGGAACCCTGAGGACAAAGTAAGAACTTGGATCTTATAAAACTTAGTTTTATATTAAAGATGACTCTTTGGGTTGATTTTGATGTATTTTTCATTTTATCACTAACCAATGAGACTTCTTTAGTAATCAATTATGAATTGGGATTTTTTCTAGATATGATATAGTTTATGCAGATCCTTGTGATGTGTGGATATTTTTAAGACAGGTAGAGAATTATAATGGCAAATGTGTTATCTCAGAAATTGCCCTAAGTGTGGATACAGTGTACCCAACTGGGATTTTTCTGTTTTTAAAATACTTGTTTTCTGAACTGAAAAGTGTCTTCTCCCACATTTCATTATTTTGATACATTTTCTGGAAATTTATTACAGACATTTGGGTTCTAATGTAGTAGATATTTATGTGGAGAAAGTATCTTTGATCCTGAGAATAAAAGAGAGGAGGGATCTATAACTAAGAAATAAAAGGAGTTTATCTGTTTTCACAAACTGCTGAGCAGCATTTTATTTTAATCTGTTTTATAAGTTTCAGCCCTAAATAGGGCATATTTGTGGGAATGAATGAAATGACTTATTAGAGTCTCCTAATTGCAACCTGTATATTATTTCATACTCTAAAAATAGCCCTTACTAAGTTTATGTTGAACATTTAAAAACTTTTCTTAGTAGCATTTTATGAATCTTATGACTTTGGGAAGTAGTAACTTTTTGGTTGTAGAATAGGAATTCCCCTGTTTTGTTTTACTAAGTGGAAATTATATTTGTTCTAGGTGAGACTAAGATAGCTCATGTGATTTAAGAGGAATTTCTGTCATCTACTTTAATTCTTAATATTATGTTAAATAAATCAGTGTTGATTTTCAGAAGACAAACTAGTTTATAAGAATTTGTTTTGTTTTGAGAAATATTGTAGATTAAATGAAATTTCACAAAACTATAAGTTTTTCTCCTGTCATTCAAGGGATATGTGCTTCATATGGTTACTACTGCAGCAGAATGGTCTATGTCATTTTCCTTCTTTGGTTTTTTTCTGACTTACATTCGTGATTTTCAGGTAAGAAAACACAGTCTTGGATTTATAGTCAAACTTCCTTCGGTGGAGTAAGAGAACATTTCACTGGAAACTGTTCAGAATCTGGCACCATAAATAATAAACAGAAGATACCTTCCCTGGTGTAATTGTTTGAGTTTGGGGAAGTGGTGTATTGCTAATGACGTTCAGCCTCAAAACTGGAAATGAAAACATACTTGAAGAAATTCTTTTGTAGAATTTTCATACACTCTATACATTTACATAGACCATCCTCAACCTTTAGTTTCACTGATTCTTCGAGAAAAACAGGAAACTTTCTGATGAGAAAAGCTTTGTTTTTCTAGATCACTTGATAACTTTTTTAGGAAAATAGCACTCTCATTCTTGTTACTCATTAGATGGATTTATATCTCTAATCACAGAAATTTTATAGAACTTACTGGAGAGGAAGTTACTCTTTCTTTAAGGAGCAAACTTCTCTATATAATTTTCTTTTCTGTTCTGTTCCAGAAAATTTCTTTACGGGTGGAAACCAATTTACATGGATTAACCCTCTATGATACTGCTCCTTGCCCTGTTATTGATGAACGAACACGACTACTTTCCAGAGATTTTTAATGAAAGTATAAAATATTTCTGTACTGATTATGATTCTCAGGGATGGAGAAAAGGTTCAGAAAAGTAACTTACTACCCTCTGAAATTTTCAACCAATTAATCAAGACTGACAGTGACATTGATGAATCCTGATAATCAGGAGACATGAAATAAGCCATTTGATAAATCATTTTAAGGATATAATCAAGAGGACTATTTAAAAACATTTATACCTATACTTTTTTATCCCAGGAAATAAAATCAAAGGACAATAGCATTGTAGTTTTTTCTACTTTATTTACGAGAAATATCCTGAAGTGCACCAGTCTATACAACCCAGCCTTTCACATTTGTAAGTCACTATAAAAATATGTTTTGATAGCACTTTTATGAGAGACATTTTCCATGTTTCCAAAATAATAAGTATTCATTAATAAATCATTTAGAATTGGGCTTTAAAGTTTGGAGTTTTGCCACATTAATACATTTATTATAGTGTTTAAAATGTTGAAAAAATATTTATTTTGGAATCCACCTATAAATGGAAGCAGACCTAATGTTTTTTTAATGGCTTAAACTTTGCACAAGAGATTGTGTAGGAATTGATTTGAGTTTGTCCACAAGGCCAGATACTATGCTGATTTATCACACATGCTTGCAATAGTTTTATGAAGCCTAGTCTCTGATATGAGATTTTTAATAACCAGTGATTGAGAGAGGTAACTAGAAAATTTACTTCTGTCATGTTTTACATAAAACAAGAGTTAGTATTTATAAACAAGGCTAGGCAGTTTGTAATAGCAGATATCATTACTATCAAACAAAAGTCACCCCAGATTATAATTACTAGTAAAAGTAGTCATGACAGGTAAATATTGAGCCTGGTTAATGGAATGTGACCATTTTAGAATTTACACTAAGAACAAACTAAGAAATCAAAAGGCAAAAACTTAGGTACAAAATAATAGTGATTTGCATCTATTAAAACAATTTTCTCTTTTGTCATGCAAGTGATTATATAGTTTCTATTTGAACTTCTTATTTGGGCAGGTAAAGAATGCTTTACAGATCCCTGGTGAGATTAAAGGGGAAAAAATGTTCTGGTGTTCCTAGTGGCAAACTGGTTTGCAAAAGAATCTTTTGAAGAAGATTAACAAGATTTATTATATTTTTAGAAGAGACGCTTCCAATGCCAGAAGAAGAAATGGTGAAATGGTTTAAAATGTTAAGAAAGAGCAGTCTAAGGGAAAGTGCTTATGTGATGGAACTAGAGACCTTGATTATAAATAAGTCGCTAAAGAAATCAGTAAATAATATTTCTAAAAACATTTGTGGACTAATAATGAGGAAAATGGGAGAAAATATTATTTATCTATTATCAAGCAATGTGAACATGGGAAGAATTTCAACAAATGTTGATTGATTAAGTGTTGTCATTACTAGAAAAATTGGATACAAATCACAAAAAGGTATCACGTCTTTGAAAATCACGGTGCCACCATACCTGGGAAGTATCATCCAGTCTAGATTGCTACAATTCAAGCAAACTCTTAATTCTAATTATGAAGAATCCACATTATGATGAGAAGAAATTGATGGAATCAGAGCTCACAAAACTGTAAATTATGTGTGGGAAAGGTGGCTCAGGAACTAACATGGACTTGTTTATCCATTCTGGAATGTCAGGATTAGAGATACAAACCACACATTAGCAAAATGGTTTTAAGACAAATAGTACTTGGATAGAATTTAAATTCAATTAGTTAACTTTTACCCTTAGAAGTAACATGGGCTGAAAATATTAATAGATTTTAAAAAGTCAAGATATTTGAAATGTATATTCACCCCTAAGTTTAAGGCTGAAGTCAAGGAAGACAACCATGCTCTCCTTCAATTATACTTTTCCTCTACTGTCAAGTGCAATAGCTTGGAAGAACAGGTAAGACATTTCTGTTTAATTCAATCAACATTATTTTTTGTTGAATGTTTGAGCTTTCAGAGTAAGATGTTTTAAGGTAACAATTTGCAGGTACTGCAAACTAATAGTGAAAAATATATTTCCTTTTTGTCTTGGGTACACAAGAAGACACTGTTTTCTAGCATCCCTTGTAACTAATTATAGGCATGAGAGTGTATTTTAGAAAGTGGAGTGGATATGTTTACTATTTTTGTATTCAGGTTTTGAGAAACAGGAGATGTTCCCACCCAGTTTTTCTCTTTGTATGTTGAATATTGATGTCGACAAGATTGTAAGATATGGAAGAATCACAAGGTAGAAGGAGCCAAAAATAGTTCACTTTTGGTCAGATTTCAGAAAATCAACTTGATATATAATTTAGAAACTTCATTTCCATCCAAATTACTAAGATTATATTGTATATTGCTGAAATGTGTTATATTTTGTGGGTGCTATTGCTGGAATGATGTCATGTGTTGTGGGTGCTCAATAAATGTGTGAAAGAGAAAGTTGACATTTCCTATGTCTTCTGCAGTGTCCAGTACAGATTCCCTGCAAACTAAAATCTCAATAAATATTGGCTTATTAGTACCCTGTAAATCTCATTATGTACATCTTATCTGTTTTCAAACAGTCAAAGTGCTGGTTTTAGCAAAGGTATTCTCATTTATAAGGAAGGAAAAAAAATACAGAATAGACCTTAAAAAAGGAAAAATCTTTGTGAGGTGTTGTAGGTCTTAAAAGTAGGTGATATGTCTGAAAGCCAAGAATAGGAATAGATATCAAAGAGAATATCCCGGATACCTAAAATATGCAATTGTGATATAATGCAAAGAGAAATCTATAATTTAGAACCCTGACAGTGCAGTTGAAAAGTGCAAAGACTCTACTAGAATTTCACCAGTGCTCAAATTTCAGTTCCTGCTGAGAAATTCTGTCCATTACTCAGAATATATTTGAAGGGAATGATAAAGTGAATCAAACTATCACTTCAGTAAAGCCCAGCTCTTCCTCAATGGCAAATCAGATTAATTCAGCCTTCCACTCTAGGAGTCTGACTAAGGAAAGGCATAGCCTTTTCTGAAGATAACCATCATTTCTTTTCATACCTACTGTCCTTTTATAGAAAATATCCTGCGCATGGTAAGAAATTATAAGACTTGCAGAGGAGTAAAAATTTGATCCAGAAAGATAATAGTCAATACAAGCAATCTTGAAAATTACCAGGTTGTTTGAATTATCAGGGGTTGATAACAATAATAAAAGGTATGAATAATTGAGGATTGTAGCGGAGATATGGAAATAAAAAAGTAGAAGCAATGCTAGAATATGATCTATGACAACATGGATCAATAAACTTAAAGACAGGACAACTGAAAGCATACAAAGTAAAAATCAAGAAGGAAAGGAGTGAAAATAAGAATATCAGATTTGAAAGAAAAAATCAAGTGGCCTACCACTTGGTATAAAAGAAAAGTTTGAAGACATCTTAACTAAGGACTCCTTTGAAATTGATGGAAATTAACAGAGAAAAATCAACAAAATTGAGAATGAATTTTTGCCAGGTATGTAGTGCACACCTGCCATCTCAGCAACTTGAGAAGCTAAGATAGGATTGCAAGTTCAAGGCCAACCTCAGCAACCTAGTGAGGCCCTAAACAACTTAGTGAGACCCTATATCAAAATAAATAAAAAGGGCTGCAGATGCGGCCGAGTAGTTATGTACCTCTAGGTTCAATCCCCAGTAAAAAAGTGAATTTTTAAAAAATTGATAAATACCTTACAAAACTGATATACTGGCCTGAATAGTATCTCTCCCCAAACCCATGTTCACCTAAAAACTTCACAGTGTGACCTTATTCAGAAATAGGGTTTTTATAGATATAAATAGTTCATACTATATAAAGCTGGACCCTAAATCCAATGATTGGGGTCTTTGTAAGTCCACATGAAGACATGGGCATAGAAGGATAGCCATGCAACAATGGAGGGAGATACTGGAGTGATGGAATTACAAGCCAGGGAATGTCACAGATTGCCTGCAACCAGACTGTTCAGAGGGGAACTTGATTTTAGATTGCTGACCTCCAGAATTGTGAGAGAATAAATACATTTCTGTTTTAAGTTACTCAGTTTATGATCATCTGTAGTGGCAGGAAACTAAGAAAAATGATCAAGTTAAAAAGAGAAAACATCAATTGCTTACATCAAGAATGAAAATGAGGACATCATTATATAGCCTGTTGATATTAAAGACAATAGAAGAGCATGTTATAAACAACTTTATGCCAATAGATTTAGTAAATTAAATTGACATTTAAATATCCTTAAAACACAACTTATCAAAAATGATGTAAGAAGAAACAGAAAGTTCTAAAAATAAATATTGAATTGGGAATCCCAAACCTTGACAAAAGGAAAACTCCATGTTCTGATGACTTCAGTGGAGAAGTCTATCAAATATTTAGAAGTGTTACTAAGCTCTGCACAAACTCTTTCAAAAAGTAGAAAACAAACTTGTTTTATGAAGCCAGGATAAATCCAGTAACAAATCTTGGATAAAATATTAACAATAAAAGAAAAATCAGTATCTTTTGAGAAAATTTTGGCAAAACATTTAAAGGAAATAGATTTTAACAATGCAATCTCTCTCTCTCTCTCTCTCTCTCTCTCTCTCTCTCTCTCTCTCTCTCACAGACACAGACACACACACACACACACACACACACACACACAGTCACACATTAAGACCAAGCAGAGTTTAACTTAGTAGAGACATTTGAAAAAAATCAAAGATTTTATTTGCTTAAAATCAAAATCACTTGTAAAAATTGTTGGGGAAACAGTATATTCCCATAGTATAAAAGGGTTAATGAATAGATTATTTGTATAGTTCAGATGGAAGACATGCCTTTGTATTGATTTGAGAGGACTAGTTTGCATCACATTAACCAAGTATATTCGTCTTTTTGTTGCTTTAACAAAATACTTGAGGCTAAGTATTTTGAAAAGAAAATAAGGTCTATTTGGCTCAGTTTTGGAAACAGGAAATTCAAGATCAGGTGGCTCCATCTGTTCATTCTGTGGCAAAGTCTCCTTGACTGCCTCATAAAATGTGGAGAAACCAAAGGAACTGGCTATATTCAGAAAGGGTCAAGTGAATAGGGTGGCTTTGTTTTATAACCTTCAGGGAACTACATTAATGCCTTCCAAGGATGATGTCCACAGTAACCTAACTATCTTTTAAAGCTTTCAGCACCACCACACTACCAGCCTGGAGCCAAGCTGCCAGGACATGACTCTGGGGGACAAAATAT